TATTAGAGTAAAATTGGAACTGTTTAACTACGTAAAGATTTGTTTTATAATTCCAACATGAATTAAATTGGTAATGAGCCAAACTTAATGCCAACAATTAGCATGGTTAAATGGTTAATCGATTAGAAAATTTCAGGCATTCCAATTCCTATATTATAGATGAGAACACTCTTATTATTTTACTGTTTGTGAAAAATTTTTAATAGAGAACATTAAAAAATTTGTACTATACACAAATTCATAATGGTGTTCTCATGAAAACTTTTGAGAACATTAATTTCGAACACTGGCTGAAACGACACCCTAGCTCTCCCACAAAAGTTCACCCCCTGTAACTTTTACCAATCGAATTTTAGGATCAGGTGTAATGTAAAAATCAAAACGAAACGACCCTATTTTTTTTACACAAAAACAAGAATAATGCTAAATTTTAATTAAGGAACCACCTTCTGCAGCCTAATTAAAAATGTTCCTCGTAATGTTTATAATAAGCGTTATATTGTTCTAATCCTAACCCTAATTACGTAACATTTTACTTAGGAAAAAAAAACATGTTTGTTTTGACTCAAACTTACTGGATGATCATGAAACATAAAAATCAGTGATGTAAATTGGATCCGCGTGCAGATTTAAATTTGCAACGTTATCCGGCAAACTCTTATGATCAAATACAATAAATAAAAATCCTTTGTTACGAACTTAGACGATACCATAATGGCCGAAATATTTTCTGAAGACTTAGTTGCAAATTCTGAAAACTTAGTTGAAGATTTTCAAAACCTATATGAGTTCAAGGAACATTATGATACAATTATCACTGTTGGAGACGAACAAAACACTAAGCAAATTTATGCCTATTCTCAAATTTTTTGTGCTAGATCATCTTACTTTCGTAGAGTATTATCCGATGTATGGGCTGTAAAAAAAATGGATACTTTGTTTTATCAAATCCTAAAACAAATGTATTGATTTTTAACATTATTATGAAGTATATGATGTATTAAAATTTTATAACAGATCATTTAGGATTCTAATTATATATTATATGTTATTTAAATAGGTTTTTGTATTGTGAAATAGTAGATTTGAAAGGCCAGAATGATGAAACAATCTTAGGGCTTCTAATTACCGCAGATAAACTTTTAATTCAAAGTCTTATTGACATCATTTAGAGTCTCTTAATCCAAAAATATTATACGTTCTTACAACAAAGTCCTATTAGGATGCTTCATTTTATTACCCATCATGAACGATTCAATGAAATTAAAGAAGCTTATTTGGAGACCATTTGCAAAAATCCTTCCTTACTATTTGATTCAGATGAGTTTCTTTCTTTAAAGGAAAATACACTAAAATTAATTCTTGAACGTGATAACCTCGATATGAAAGAAAGTATTATCTGGAAAAAACTAGTTCAATGGGGAAAAGTACAACATGAAAATAACATGATGTGTATTGACAATAAGAATGATGACATTATAGTCAGAGAATATACTGAATTAGGATAACATAGATTGCTCCTTTTATGGTAATAAAATATCAATCAGACTATTCTAGATTCCTTCTGAATATTATACATGTGATCATCAGCTCCGTATACTAGCCAATAAAATTGCAAGGCCAAAATGTACATACAGTACAGCAGTAATAAAATTCTTGGTCATTACGTATGTTCGTATACATACAGCACTTTTACCTACAGCAATGGTAGATTTAGATTAATAACTTTATACAATGATATTGTTTTTCCGACTACATGGGACAAATCGCCATTTATTGACATAGATTCAAGTAAATTATACAGGTAATATGAAAAGGAGAAATCTTGCAGAAACTTATTTAAAGTGCTACTGTAATCATTGGCATTTAAAGAATATCATTATAGCCTTTTAATTTATTAAAAAAAAAACCTTTAAATCAAAGATACTGATGACTTAAAAGCTGCTGTTGTTCGAGCAAACCATCCTGTCTCTTCAGGGTGTGGGATATTTTATAAATAATATGCTTATGCTTGGTAATAGCGAATTTTTATTTTATTTTCTTATTATTTTATATTAACGTCTATATCATATCTTTTAGGACAGGAAAACAAAGAAAGTGAATCATGGGGGTGTGGTTGCCATCGTGACGATAGATATTCTTTTTGTTCAAGAAATAGTGGGCCATATGGTAATCCAAAAGACCCTGGATATATTACTGGTGATATAATCGGATGCTATCTAAATTTTAGAAGTTATATAGTATTTTATACTAAAAATGGAGTCAACTTAGGTAATCAACATTTAAAATTAAAAGGTTATATTTTAAAATGAATAGACAGAAATTTATGCATTTTATATCCTTGTGTTGGGTTTAGATCGCATGGCAGTCAGTAAAAGTGAACTTCAGCAATGAAAAATTTAAATATTATAAAGGATTAAGACCAAAGTTTCAAATTAAAATCTCTCAATTATTAGAAAATCTAATTAACCGCCATTGAGATGCTTAACTCTTTAATAGACCAAGTACTAATGAATTAGAAAATATTTTGAGAGAGTAACAAGAAGAATTGAAAAAAAAGTCAGAAATTGGAAATTTAAAAATCACTAAATTCACTAAACAACTCCAAGAAGCCGGCGGGAAATCTTAATTTAGAAACATTGTTTTCAGAGAATAGAAATTCCTAGTAAATTTATTCAAAGAGTTTAATGTTTTTTGGCTTATTTAAAATTTAATCTTGTCTATATATTTTTCAATTAATAGCAATGATTAATGAAGACATTAATAGAAAATCAAAGAATGTATTAATATTAGAATAGCAAGAAAAGGTTTATTTTATTATAGGTGAATATGAAAATATGCTTGTTAGTTTAATCGATTATTTAACAAAATTGCTAGAAAAAAAACCAAATAATGCAGACGAATTAAGCTACCCAGGCAAATTATATTTTATTATAGGCAAATATAATGAAGCATTTGAAGATTTAACTAGATCACTAGAAATTGAACCATCTAATACAAATGTCGAGGAGAAATTAATTATATGATGAAAAGGTATAATGAATTAATCGCTAACTTGGAGGAATTAAACCAAATGATATATGAGCAAAGAAGGTTTATAAATTGGTTAAGGGGTTGTAAGTATGATATACATTTTAATTTTATTTTTTACTTAATTCAACATTAAGGGGTTGTAAGTAAGTATGATATGTATTTTAATTTTTTTTTTACTTAATTCAACATTTAGTTTTCGGGAAAATTTAATATTAGAATAGCAAGAAAAGTTTATTTTATTATAAAAATATTCTTGTTAGTTTAATCGATTTTTTAATTTATTCACTAGAAAAAAAACCGAATAATGTATACGAATTAGTTACCAAGGCAAATTATATTTTATTATGGGCAAATATGATGAAGCATTTAAAGATTCAACTAGATCGCTAGAAATTGAACTATCTAATACAATAGTTAAGAAGAAATTAATTATATAATGAAAAGGTATAATGAATTAATTGCTAACTTGGAGGAATTAAACCAAATAACGTATGAGCAAAGAAGGTTTATAAATTGGTTAAGGGTTGTAAGTATGATATGCATTTTAAATTTTTTTTTATTTAATTCAACATTTAGTTTTCAGGAAAATTTAATAACCATCGTACAAAATTCTAAATTGGAAAAATTTTAAAAGCTGACTAGAAAAGAAAGTGATAGAAAATAAACTTAAATATAGTAATGAATCACAAGATTATACATACCATAGAAATTAGTTTCAGCTGTATCGAAAGTATTTAGGCACCGATTTTTTAGCAAAAAATAAAGCTGCAAGTCATAATTTATGCCACAATCTGAAACAAATACCAAAATTCAAATATATATAATAATCTAAATTAATTGCCGCAATTTGATTTATAATAATTTATTGTTCTCAAATTCTGAGACAACAAAAAAAAATACTGATGACCGAACTGATAAATTTTTGAAATTGGTCACTTATTCTGATTTAGTAATTTATCGATCCAGTACATGAGGGCAGATTTTTTCGATTTGGTGATTATTAAAAATTAATGATAACATTTCATAAAATTTAATCTAATCATTTATGTGAAATTGTATGATCTCCGGCAAAATATATTTAATATTGCTTGATCTCTGGTAAAATTGAATTGTAAGATTTTATTTGATTAGTCAATTGCTTGCCTTAACTATTAATCCGCTTATGAATCACTTATAAAACCATTCATGAAACCACATAATAATTATAAATCATCATATCATAGCGATAGTATTTAATTGGCCAATTGCTTTTCTTAGCAGTAAATTGCTTATGAAACTAATCATGAAGCTGCATAATATTTATAAATCATTAATAAATTATTATGTATATTACTTAATTCTAATAATCACAATATTTCCATCAAAAATTTTTGCTAGAAAATTTCTTTGTTGTCCCAGAATTTATGAGAACAGCTGTACTTTTTTTACATTATTTAAATCGTTATATATATCAATCACATGTCAAAATTTAGGTAAAAATTATGCTGCAATAATTTCTACAGCATGTATACACAGGATGCTAAATTATTTTTTTAACAATTGTACTATAGTATATAGTTTAAAATAAATAGTGCTTGGCAAAATTGAATAAAACTCGATTTTTGAGTTTTTGATTTCAGACAATCTAAATTTATTTTAATACTATACTAAAAACAGTTTGATTGTCTGAAATCAAAAATTCGATTTTCGAGTTTAACTCGATTTTGCCAAACACTATTCATAATCTTTACTATTAGTGGTTTTGGAATTAATTTATTTTGGGAGTTACTTTCTGTTTTAAAAATTCTATTAAATAGATATACTTTATTATATAATTAGTGTGGTGAGATTTTTTTTTAAATAAATAAATAAAAAATTTCTCATATTTAAACTTAGTTAAATTAATAAAATCTGATTCTAGAGTGATTTATATATCAATTCTTAGATCTGATTGACTTACATGCACTTATTTGCAAAAAGTTCTTATACTCTTAATTATTATTAGAAATCTGTAAATTAATATCTAAGTATATAGATAATAGAAAACAATTAGTTTAATTAATCTACAATAATCTACTTTAATTTGTATTTTTTAAAAAAGTAAGTGAGACTTGAAGTTTGAAGACTGTTTTTATATAAACTGAACTGTAAAAATATAATTTTACTAATTAGATTTATATTTTAAATATTTTTTTGTAGTATCAACTTCCCAAGTACAATCAGAAGAAATTTCTCAATATATTTTTGCAGATTTAGTTGAAATTTATAATGAAATTGGCTTGAAACCTTGTGATGTAGATCCATGAAGACTACGAAATGCTAATACTCCAGCAGTTGATAGACGACTTGTTCTTCTTTAATCTTATATATCAGAACTTGCTAATCGACATTCTTCTTTAACTACTTATATTATTTGTCAAAGGCACTACAATCAAATTGTTGCTAATGATTATTATAATCTTGCAAATTTAGATCAAGAAACTGCTTCTAATCAAGATAATATAACTATAAGCTATAATGATTTAATGATTAAGCTTGATAAAGCTAGAAGACTTTTAGAAGTTGCTCAAACAAAAAATTAGCAGCTATTTTAATTTTTAGAAAATCAAAGAAAAGAAATGGCTAAATTAATACAAAAAGCTTATAATGATATAATTATAACTCGTAATTTTTTAGAACTTCAAAGAAACGAAGTAGCTAAATTAAAAAATCAGTTGCAAAGCATTTATGATGAAGTGATTACAGTTCGTAATTTGTATAAGGAACAACTTAGAATTAATGATACACTTGTTACACAGTGGAATTCTAGATTTGATAATCAACAAAAATATATTAATGCAATAGTTGAAATAGCAAAGGCAGAACATATATCATTATTTGAAGATTTAGAGCAATTAATTCAAGATAAAGATAGGTTCTCTTTAGAAAATCTTAAAATATATAGCCCACGTGAATAGCTTAATAAACATAATCAG